GGGGGGGGGGGGGGGGGGGGGGGGGGGGGGGTTGTCAGGTCCGACTTGTCAGGCCCCCTGGCGCCCTGCGGCCGGGCCCCTGCCGGGAACGGCGGCAATCGCCCGCACGGGAAGGCCGACGACCTCCGGACCGGGGACAGTGTCCAGGAGTAGCGGCGGTGGCACGTCCAGCCTTGAAAAAAGCCCGAAAGAACAAAGCGACCCTTCCGGCCCCCCCCCCTCCCCCCCCCCTCCCATCATCCCTCTCCATCTGTCACATTGCTCTTGCCCGATCACTCGGCCTTTTGGCATGCTGGCTCTCCGGTGCAACAACACGCGCCTGCGCGGCTCTCGCTCACAACACTGCTGGTGAGGGCCGGGCGCATGCCGCAGGAGAGGGGCCGAGGGGCGGGGCGGGGGAGCAGGCGAGGGTGTCACATTCGAGCGGTTAATCAAACGGCCCCGGGGCTGCCAACGTTTGACTGTCACTTGCGGTCGTATATGTGGACCGATGTCCGAGCAGGCGCCCGCGGAGGCCGGACAGACGGGACGCCCAGCATGGGGAGGGGTGCGGGCCGATGCTCCCCGGCAGCAGGCGGGATGGATATACCCCCGGCGCGCAGGGACCATTCGACCACACACACACACACAGAGAGAGAGAGACACACATGCAAGCATGCACATGGCTGCATGGCGGGCGGGGACATCCGTACGCTCGGGGCCGGACAGCGCCATAGGGCACGCCGCGGCCCTGGGAATTATTCCCGCATGCCCTGGAAAACTGGTGGCAGATTAAACAGCAAGCCCCGGCCTCGGTCTCAGCAAAGACGCCCCCGCCTTGCCTGCCCCGAAGCACACCCTATGCCGGCACCATTTGGCCTGGTGACACCCAAGGCGCGATCGGGCGCGCGGACCTTCTTCAAAACACCCAGGCCAGACCTCGGGACCGAAGGCGGCGAAGGGCGGGTGGCCGATGCGGCCGGCGAAATATGGGCGCTTGACTGCCCAGCGCGCACATCACCATGCCCGGGAGGCATACTTCGGCGGGGAGGGGTGAAGGCCACTTGGTGAGGGGGCTGCCAACGTCAAAAATGGCACCTCCGCCCCCCCCCCCCCCCCCCCCCCCCCCCCCCCCCCCTCCTGATCCGAGTCTCCCCGCCGCGCGGCGGCGCGCGGGGGGGGGCGCGCGCCCCCCAGGGGGGGGGGGGCGCATTTGGGGCCGCGGGAGGCGGGGGAGGGACGTCCGGGCCGAAGGCTAGCGCGTGGTGCCCTTGCCCGCGCCCCCGCCCCCCCCCTCCTCGGAAACGAAAGAGCCCCCCCTCCCCCCAAACGGTGGGAGTTGTCCGGCTCCCGTTTCAGCAGCCACCGTCGGCCCGGGGGGGGGGGAGGGGGAGCGGGGACGGGGGCAGTCTGTCTGGGCTCAGGGCGCTGCCAAGCCCGAGACGCGCCGACAAGTCCTTCCGGGGGACGGGGGGGGGGAGTGAAGAAGACCACGGCCGGCGTCGCGCCCTCGAAAAACGAAAAACCCCATCTCGGGCGGGCGCCCACCGAAAATGGGATTGTGGGTGTCGCGTGCGCCGGCGATGGATCCCCCGCCCTGATCGAGGGGGAGGATGGCCCCGGGGCACGAGAAAAATGCCCCGCCGCAGAAACAGCGAACCCAAGTATTGGCGGAAAAAGAAAGCCAGCATTTTGGCGGAGTCTTGACAGATGCTTGCTCACTTTCGGGCCCGCAGACAGGCCGGGCACCTGACGCGTTGGATCATGTGCCATGCGACCCTTTTCCAATTAACGGTCGCCAGTGGCGCACCCAAAGGAGAATGGCCTTTTCCATATTGGCGGGGTCTGATTCGGGGCGGCCGTGTCCGGCGGGCCTGGGCACATGTGAAACCCGCGGCTGACGAACTTCGCCGCGGGTGATGTGGGTGCTGGGTGAAACCTTTAAATCACGGAGAAATCCGACCCTCCCCATGGGGGCGTAGCTCAAATGGTAGAGCGGCCGCTTAGCATGCGGCAGGCAGGGGGATCGATACCCTCCGCCTCCAGATCCTTTTGATGCCGCATCCTTTTGGTCCCCCTCCGGCGCAACACTGGTGGAGGGGTAGCGCGTGCGTTCCCCCCCCCCCTCCCGCTGCCGCTGGTTGCGCTCTTGATCCGAGGGCGAACAGCAGGACGAAACACATTGTATTGGCCTGGAAGCGCATTACGGGGTATATTTGCCCGACGCGGGAACACTGGCAATAGATGCGTCTTTATGTCCCCCGCACCCACCGTCACCCTGGGACCGGGGGGGGGGGGGCAAATGAGGAATCGTCAAACGACGACCGGCACGGGGAATGCTCCTCTCCGCCTTGTTCCCCCTGGCCGAGTAGCAGGAAGTTGCTCCGGAAAACACGCATGACCAATTCGCTGCCCAGGCAGGGGGGATTGGCCTTTTGGACCCTGTGTCCCCTCTGCCCGACCTTGGCTCTGTCCGGCGTTCCTGCTCCTCCTGCTCCCTGTTCGTGCCACCCTGATCTCGCCTGGCGCGGTGCGCGCGCGGGCGCGCGCTGGCCGTGCTGCGGGGCCAGGCGGCGCGCATATGTGCTTGGATGGTATGCATGAACATGTGTGGGTGGGTGGGTGTGTGTGGGGGGGGGGGGGGGGGGGGGCGGGGGGGGGGGGGCGGGGGGGGGGGGGGGGTGGGGGGGGGGGGGGGGGGGGGGGGGGGGGGGGGGGGGGGGGGGGGGGGGGGGGGGGGGGGGGGGAGTGTATGCGGATGAGAGAGGGAGGGGGACAGACAGGGAAGGACCAGGCGCGTCACTCATTTTCCACCGAGCCTCTGTCAGCGCTGCTCAGCAGGAAAACTGACTGCCAAACTAGCTGGAGAGTGGGCGGGGTCCCCTCGCCCTTTTTTCTTTTTTTTGACGAGGGCCTCGCCCGAAGGCGACTTTGCTTTTTTCATCTTTTTCTAGAGCAGCCTATGTCTCGTCAAGGGAGGGAAGGGAAAGGGGGAGGGGGGGGGGGGGGCGCATAGGCACGCGTATCGCACTCGAGCAGCAGGAGCAGCAACAGAGCCGCAAAGGCAAGGGCGTCAAAGGCGGCCATGAGAGAGAGAGAGAGAGAGAGAAAGGGATAGAGAGAGAAAGAGACCAGTCCACGCGCATTGCCTCGCGTGGCGCTGACGACGTGTGCCAAGAGCGGGCAGAGGAATGAAGGGGCTTGCTCCCACCTCTCAGTCTCCCTGCCATTCTCCAATTCAAGCTTCTTCTTCCTTCTATAGGAGACGGTCTCACGAGCATGCCTGCATGCGTAGCCCCCACCCCGGGGGAGGGATGGAGGAGGGAAAGAGAGCGAGAGGGAGAGAGAGAAAGGGAGAGAGAGAGAGGGAGGGAGAGGGGCAAGACGGAAACCCTCTTCACACATCGGAGGAGGCATCGTCGGAGTGGTGGCCGTCATGCTCCGAGGTGAGCGAGGCAACGCCGCTGCTGCTGCCGCCGAAGGTACTGTCAGCCGGGCCTGGAGCGGTCGCCACGGCCCCGAGTCCCGGAGCCATGGAGATATCCTTCGCGCCGGGGCCGGGAGCCGCAGTGGCGACTTGCGGGCCGGGAGCCAGGCATGCCGGCTCCTCCGGATCGTCGGCCATCATGTCGGCGACAGATCCGGGCCCGGCAGTCTCCTCGCTGGAGGGGCCCCTGTGCGTTGATGAGTCATCGGCCGGCTGCCCAGGCGAGGAGTTTGTCTCCAGGTCGCTGCTGACTGCCGAGGAGAGGGAGTGTGTGGTGCCGGGGAGGTCGTCATGTTGGTGCTGCGGCTGCGGCTGCGGCTGCGGCTGCGGCTGCGGCTGCGGCTGCGGCTGCGGCTGCGGCTGCTCGCCATGGGTCGAGGTCAGGGAAGCATCGCATGCCGAAGGGGTGGGGGAGGAGGAAGATGCGGTCATCGGGGCAGAGCCGGGCTGCTGGGGAGGGAGAGCCCCTGCACCGACGGTCCCTCCATGGGGGGAGGACGGCTCGGCGGCGGTGGCAGACGGAGTGCGCGAAGCCGCCACGGTCACCGGCGTGCCATGGTGATGGGAGGTCGAGGAGAGAGGGCCGCCGGTCGTGCTGCCGGGGAGACTGGGAGATGCGGAAGCCGGAGGGCCAGCGGCGCTACTCCGGACCCCGGCGAAGCCGGTGTCAGCATAGAACTTGGCCAAATACCGCTCGCGGTTGGTGAGGCTGTGTGTGTGTGTGTGTGCGTGCGTGCGTGCGTGCGTGCGAGGCTGTGTGTGTGTGTGTGTGCGTGCGTGCGTGCGTGCGTGCGTGCGTGCGTGCGTGCGTGCGTGCGTGCGTGCGTGCGTGCGTGCGTGCGTGCGTGCGTGCGTGCGTGCGTGCGTGCGTGCGTGCGTGCGTGCGTGCGTGCGTGCGTGCGTGTGTCAGTGTTGCTGCAGGAGAGGAGGGAAGGGAGGTGGGAGGAGGGCATAGCGTGGCGCGCGCGTGTGGGTGTGTGCAATAAGGGGCATAGTAGAGAGTGATGTGCGTGTGTAAAGCCAGGGCGAGGGGAGAGAGAGAGAGAGAGAGAGCACGCTCGGGAGCATGGACGGGGTGGGACACGCACAAGCCGATAAATGGCCAGCCAAGAGGACCCCAGAAGGAGATGTGCCCGGTGAGAGAAGCCAGCAGGGCGCTGACCACCCGCCCCCAGTTGGTGTGGTGCTTGCGCATGAGACTGACCAAGGCAATGCCAATGTAGCACATAATCAGCAGGAAGGACTGTCCGGCCACGGCGCGGAACTCCTGGAAGTGCGAGGCCAGGGCCGGGCTGCGCCGGCGCCGGGCCGACCGGTGGCGATTGCCACCGGCCGGGGCCTTGGCACGGGAGGCGGTCCTGGCGGAGCGGGTGTTCCGGCGGGCGCGCTTTTCCGGCACGCGAGCTTCCCCGGCTCCCGGCATGTGGGGGGCAGCACCAGCACCAGCAGCACCGATGGCCGAAGATGACGGCGAGAGGGGGCCATGAAGACCTGCAGCATCGCCGGGGCCCAGGCCGCCAGCGGCCATGGTGGTGGCACGGAGCTCCGGCGAGGAGGCCGCACTGCCCCGCATGACTGGGCTCATGGAGAGGTGGCTGCTCTTGTCGCCACCGGCCGACAGGTCATCGGAGCTGATGGAAACCGACGAGTAGAGGTCGCTAGCGCCATCGCCCGACAGGATGGTGCCCGGCTGGCCGGAGCCCTTGTCAGTGGGGGGGAACTTCTCCGCGGGACCGGTGCCGCCAGCCGCGGCCGGCGAGGAGGTCGAGGAGGAGAGCGACACCCGGGGCATGTCCCGCAGGGGGATGTCGCCAGCTGCCTCGGCACCACCACCATGGTCGTCCTCAGTGAGATCGGAAGAGCACACGTTCAGTGGGGGGGAACTTCTCCGCGGGACCGGTGCCGCCAGCCGCGGCCGGCGAGGAGGTCGAGGAGGAGAGCGACACCCGGGGCATGTCCCGCAGGGGGATGTCGCCAGCTGCCTCGGCACCACCACCATGGTCGTCCTCAGTGCCGGAGTACATGTTGACATCGCCCGGACGCCCGGTGAAGCCGGTCCCCAGGTCGGAGGTGTCCTCGGTGCTGTAGGAGGAGCTGTACGCACAGCCGGCCTCCTGGCAGGGGGAGCTGGAGCCGCGGGTGTCGGACCACCGGTGCGGGCACTGCTGATGGTGATCGAAGTCCTGGCCATCGGAAAGAGAGGAGAAGCAGGAAATCCAGTTGTGGAAGAAATCCACAAACCAATGTCCCGTCCGGCGGCAGGCAACCTTCAGCCTGCTCTCGGCCCCGGTGTCGGGGTGGGTGCGGAAAAAGAGCCGCCGCTCGGCGGGGGCCGCCTTGTCGGAGGCCAGTGCGCCGCCTGACCGACCGAAGTCCGGGTCGAAGTGCGAATACTGCTGCCGGTACAGGCGCCGCGTCATGTATGCCACGAGGATGAGCGGCCCCATGTGGTAGACCATCGAAACGAGGTAGATCAGCTTGTAGGCAGGACCAAACTGGTAGCACATTTCGTAGCCATTCTGGCAGCCGCGAATGCCATGGAGGACAGGGAGCGGGGGAGGGGGGATTGTGTCGGTCAGAGGGGGCCGTGTCGAACGGGTGATCGGGGTGGCGGCGGCGGCGGCGATGGCGAATGGCCGGCAGCAATGCCGGCGAGGCGGCGCAAACGCACCACGATGTCCGGGCCGTTGAGGTGGAAGGCGACGGCGATGCCGGTGACAATCGGGATCGGGAGCCAGTAGATGATCGGAACGATCAGGACGTGGCCAAGGTGCATGCGCTCCTTCATGCGGAAGATGATGTAGATCTGGCCATGCACGCGTGCGCGCACGTATGTGTGTGTGTGTGTGTGTGCGTGTGTGTGTGTGCGTGTGCGTGTGCGTGTGCGTGTGCGTGTGTTTGTGGGAGGTCCCGGGCAACGGAGCAGGGAGGACGAACGTCAGAGGGGCCGGGGCCTTGGGGCCATGCAGCAACCGAATGCCAAAGTGTGCCGGCCAATGGGACCGGAGGCCGAATGGGGTGCGTACCCGCCACATCCGGAAGAAGTAGCTGGTCACCAAAGTCCCGTAGCCGATGGTGTACTGGACGATGACTGCGCGTGGCCGGGAGAAGAAAGCGGCGGAGGAGGGCGGCACGGCGGGGCAGGTGCCGTGGCGCGCGAGAATGTTGGGAGATGTCAGTTCACCGGGGGGGGGGGGGGGGGGGGGGGGGGGGGGGGGGGGGGGGGGGGGGGAGGGGGGGGGGGGGGGGGGGGGGGGGGCGTCGCAGGGCGTTTGCCGGGTGCATGGAGGCATGCCTGCCTAAACGCACAGCCGAGAGTGCAGAACCACGGCCCGGGGTAGGGGAGCACTTGGAAAGTCATCTGCAGGGAGGATGGCCGTGTCAGTGAGGGGGCTCCGGCACAAGTGCAAGTGCAAGTGCAAGTGCAAGTGTGTGTGTGTGTGTGTGTGTGTCCAATTGTTGGGGAGAGAAGGGGAGGGAGAAGGTGGCGAAGGGCCAAATGCATGCATACCATGATGCCGAGGACGACCGTTGTTCCGCCTGGAGAGGCACGAAGCCGGGTTGTGACACACAGACACACACAGACACACACAGACACACACAGACACACACACACACACAGACACACACACATTGGCGTGGGGGGAGGGGAGGAGAACGGTTAGAGCGCCGACGAAAAAGACACCAAGGCGCCATCACGGAGGAGGGGGCGGGGGACACCAAGCAGCAGCATCGCAAAAGCCCGCGACGCACCCGCCAGACCCCAGGTAACCGGGGTCAGCTGCCGTGCACGGAAGGGCGCAAAGTCCCGGCGCCGGTTCCAGATGAGGATCAGGGCCAGCCAATCGACCAGCAACAGGGCATAGATGGCCGCATAGCAGAGGATCGACGCCAGAGGAGGCCCAGCAGCCAGGGCCACCTCGTCAATGAGCGGATCGGTGTGCTGCATCGGGGTGTGCTCCAGGGAAAAGGGCGCCACAATGGCGCCGACAATGATGCTGACGCCGATCATGACCAGCCCGAGGATCGTGATCGGGGATTGCTGGAGGGCCATGATGGTTCAGGGGGGGGCGGGGGGCGCGGGCCTCCAGGGCACAGTGCGTTCGGGGGCACGCACGGGAGGCAGACAAGAACAAAGGAGGAGAGGGGGGGGGCTAGTTGGGGGAGGCGCGCTGAAGGACGTGCAATGGGCTGCGGTGGCACAAGAGAAGGGCCGCGAGAAGGGATGCCGAGGAAGGGGCGGAATAGGCAGGAGGGGGACAGGGGGAGGGGCCCTGAATGGCAGACCGGCAGACGCCCTGCCAGCGGGGGGACCCTTGAGGGTATCCGCCTGGCGTGGTGTCGATGCCGTCAACAACGGCCGGAGCAACAGCGGCAGTGCGGTAGTTCCAGGCGCCGCGAGACTAGTGCAGTAGTCGCAGGCGCAGCAGGAGTAGTGCGGTGGTTGCGGGAGCCGACATGGCAGCAACAGCAGCAGCAGCAGCAGCAGCAGTAGTAGTGGTAACAACAGGAGGCCAGGGGCGAACGTGGGGGCCGAAGCGCTGAGAGGTGTGGATGGGCACGGCCACCGCGGCTGGCCGGCGCAGGGCGAGCGGGCGAACCAGGAGGACCTGGGAAGGCCTCACACGGGGGCGAGGGGGGCCGCCGAGTGAGACAGGCACTCGGCGAGGGCCGAGGGGGGCGGGCACGGGCAACAGAAGGCCTCAGGTAGGGGGGG